GAAGGTTTTGTTCAGGTGTGTTTCTGAACTGGAATATTTGTTAACCTGTTCTGTTGTGTGGACAAGGACAAGCATTGACATGACACTTTATCCAGCCTATTGTAGGTCCAGATGGAATAAAAAAGGAATTTGAGAGTAATGTGCTTCTTGCATCCATTGAGAATATGCAATACGCAGTCACCGTGGATGTTCTTCACACGGTATTGATTGTACTAATTGGTGTTTTACATGTACACTCACGTGTCAGATGAATTGTATCACTCAATAACTGCTAATTTGATCAGGTATTCTCTGCATTTGGTACTGTCCAAAAGATTGCAATATTTGAGAAGAATGGTGGAACTCAGGCACTAATTCAGTATTCTGGTAAGTTGCTTGCCAATTACATAGTCCTCAATATTTCCTAATTGGGAGGAAAGAAAGGCTCAAATGGACTACTGAAAAAAAACAAAACCAAAAATTCTATAGCTTTTTCACATGCATGTGGACCCCCGATTGCATGCCTTGTAGTGGATAGGTTCCTTGTCGGGGAAATATCTGTCCCCTTTTTTGACTTGTTTGTGAATAAGTACAAGTTGCTGTCCGTAATTTTTTACTCCAATCTTTACCACTAATGAGCTTTGTTTCCTTGCATCTTGAGAAACCTTAGTTGGGTTGGAACAGATTGGTATCAGCTCATGTAGCATTTTGAGCATGATTTTCTTTTTAGAATTTCGTACTTTATTTATTGATTTCTTTTTTTCCCCATCAGTCACTTGAAGGTAGTAAATGTAATTGAATATAATAATCAAGTAGTTTTCATTAATTCAGTGGGATGACAATCCCCCTCCCCACACCCCAACCCCAGGAAACATAGGACCTTGAACTTATTGTGCATGAGTCTTAAATATTAACTGCAGCTTTATTAATTTCTGCATGCCATCATTACACACTTCAGATATCACAAGGTATGTTTGTATGTAGGCTTGTCTCAATCCGAAACTGTGCTTGCAATATCTTGGATGCATTCTAATTGCACCTGGATACACTGGCTTTGGAAACTTCAGTATGAGCTCATTTGATGAACTCCTTATGGTAGTCATTCATGAGTCATGGCTGTTCTCCTGTTTTTTCATCGTTTTATTTATATGAATTTTAATTCCTTCTGCATTCAAATTGAATGCCCTTTTTGGACACGTCTCATATCAACCAATATTCTCATCTGGTGGACCGCTTTATCTACTTTTTTACATATCATTTATTTAAAAACATTAAAATGACCAGTAGCAGACTTCAGGCTGTCTAAATATCAGACATTTTCAACTCCCAGCTAATTATATTCCAACATTAGATCTGAAACGGAGGGAGTACTTCACTGCTACTACATCCCATATCCTTGTGTCCATGCCACAAATATTTTAGATCTTATTGTGTAATATGTACATGTGGATACTGGTCTATTACACGCTCCATATTTGAAGTGCATTGTTTATTTCATGTGTATGCCATCCTCATCGATGAAACTTGGTTCACTAACTGAGCCGCAACTTGCTTTATTTACAGATATCACGACTGCAGCTGTTGCCAAAGATGCGTTAGAGGGTCATTGCATATATGATGGTGGCTATTGTAAGCTTCATCTATCATACTCTCGTCATACTGATCTCAATGTAAAGGTATAAATATGTGCTTTTGAGTTAAATGTCTTGCGAGAAATTAACATAAAGGCTTCTTTACTACAAAAAAAGGGTTTGTTCTTGATCATAAAAAATTTCTCCCCTTGAATGTGTTCTTGATGCTCTTTACCTTCTCAGTTGATACTGTTTTAATAACAAAATTGATTGGTCATGCCTGCATGTTCTAGGCATACAGTGACAAAAGTAGAGATTACACTATCCCTGAATCACTTGCAATGCATCAAGCTCCGGGCGTTCCTGCTCCAACTTCAGGGTGGCTACATACTACTTCAGCTTCAGTAGTCCCTGGGATTGGTTATGCTTCTGGGGGTGCTTTACCGGTTCAGTCTCCTGTGGCACCAGCGTCGTGGGATCCAGCTGTGCAGACAAGCAGACCAACCTTCATGTCTGGTCCTGGCTCATTTCCTGGTCAAACATATTCATCAACTTCAGTTCCTGCTTATTCCTCTGCAGCAATTCCACCTGGTTCCTCGCCACTTTCTCAAACAAACCATGTCACTGCTGGTGCTCCACCGATGAGGGTAACTCAGCCTTTGCATCAGTCAAATGTTTTACCTGGTGGTATTTCTCCTCCAGGTCAAACTCCTTACTACGCTCCATGAGTTGTACCTATTTCGTACTAAAAATTTCTCCTCTTGCTCAAACAAAGGTCCTCATATTCTTCACCCCTCCCCCCACCCCACAAAAGAAGGCTTGTATTTGGAAATTAATCTGATGATGATTCAGGGTGCTTCAATTGTTTAACTGCGCAAGTGATAATACTTAATTCAGTTTATTGCACCAAACCCTAGTGCAGCAATAGATTCCAGTCTCCTGAACCGTCGCACATTTTCTCACTTGATCTTCATGTGATCAGCTATAGCATTGTCAATGTGACACAGTAACATCATACTAGCATTGCACTATTTTCTTGTATGCTTAACATGCATGTTTTCCTTTTGATTCTCTTCCTTTTCCAGTGTTAAGTTTAAATTGTGTTTAGCAAACTCATCGCAAGTCCCCATAACACTGGTGGTCTTTGATTCTCCTATTGTTGCTGTGGTAGTGGGTGTTGTGGTGGTGGTGGCGGCGGCATTAGTCTTGGTCTTGGTCTTAGTCTTAGTCTTGGCCTGATCAGGGAAGATTAGGAGTGGATGATAGTCCGTAACAGCACCCTTTGGCGTGCTTCATACCTGTGGAAACATCTGCTGCTTTCCAAGTACATCTTATGGACCTAATGTAGATAACCTCTTATAACACAATGTTGGAATAGAATTGAACCAATGTCTATTCATGGAAATCCGAAGCCACTCTGGTGTCGTGATGGTAGTTGTCAAGGTTCAAAAGTTTATTGAAAACAACTTGCGATAGCAGTAAGGTTGCCACAGGTTGGATCAGCCTCGGGACCAAAAGCATTTCAAAATGTTTAAATATTTAAAGAGAGATGCTACAATTACCCCGCGGGTTGACAACCCCTCTCACCGGCCCCTCACAATGGTGGGGGGCCACCTTTTTGTAAAACAGGTGGGCCCCCCACCATTGTGAGGGTCCGGTGAGGGGGGTTGTCACCCCCCCCCCCGGGTACAAATATAATTTCCCATATTTAAACCTGTTAACTTTTCCTTTTTAACTAAGGCCCACACATTTTCTTCCTTGGATAATTTCTTTACTTCAACCCAATTTTTCTGCTTCACGCTATTCACTGCATAATACCTTTCAAACCACTTGTAGCACAACCTCACAAATCAGTATAAAAATTGAATTTACAATGAGGATCGATTTGAGAATTATGGGTACATGTAATATTGTTCAGTACGCTCCTTCACGTATGCATCGGATTTTTTAATGTCCACGCCTATTTTAATAAATTGGTGGTCTTTCCCTTCCTTTCGGACTTCCAACCTTTTCTTCCATTTTTGAGGTTTAGCGGTTGGATAAGGAACACGTATATATTTGAAAGTTATCTTCCACACACTTTCAAATACTAATAAACAATGAATATGATTAACTAAACCAACAAGAAGTATAAAATCACTAAGGGATCGTTTGATTGTAAAAGTGGAATTTAAATGAATAGAAAATGAATACAGGGAATTGAATTGCTTAAAATATGTTTTATTGAGAATTGTAATTATTTGTGTTTGATTGATATAATTTTCCATCTGAAAAGTGTTGAACGTTTGGTGTTCGTTTAACTTTATTTTTATGGAAATTGTCTATTAAAATGATATATATATATTTTTTACCATTGGGTCTATAATTTATTTCAATTGTCAAAAAAAAATTTTGTTTTTTAAAAAAATTACCATACACAATATCATTCGTTTGGTTTTGTTTTGTATGAAAATTGTCAATAAAAGTGATAAAATTTTTTACCATTGTGTCTACAATTTTTTCTAATTGCAAATAAAAAAAAAAAGGAAGCAAGTTGGAAAACCATTTCCCACACAAACCATGGGAAAATAAATTCCACAAAAATCAAGAAATTGTGCACGTGTGAGTGGAAATCAAGAGTGGAAATCAAGAAAAACAATTCTAGGGAACACTTTGCACTCAAACCAGCCAAAACTTGGAAAATGGAAAACAAGTTCTTACTTTCATGGAAAATTTTCCATATCAAACAAGGCATAATTATATTAACAACGAAAAATAACCAATAATTATGTTATTAATAGATGTACAGATAGCAGCCTTTGCATAAGCTTCAGAACAAGATATGCCCAGCGCTGAAATTGTGGTGTTAGATTCGAAGAATGAGAAAAAGTGGCGATACATAATAAGTGATATAAAACTTTTTCTATAAGGTCGAATTGGACAATATGTAGGCCCCGTTCGGGAGGGATTAAAAGCCAATTAAAATTGAAAATATGGCTGTTATTGGGTCTCACTCGTCTAATAAAAGTCAACAATAACGACTATATTTTCAATTTTAATCTGATTTTAATCCCTCCCATACAAGGCCGTAAGGAAGATAGATGATGAAAAGGGCCCTACTACTAATCTAAAAAAATTATGAAAGAATGATTCAACACAAGCTACTCTGCATGAATTTTGCAAATTCCTGAAAATCTATCCTCCCATCTCCATTTTCATCAAAAACCCTAATCATACTCCTGCAATTCTCCATTTCTGACCCTTCTTTAAAACCAAGAGCACAAAGAACCATTTGCAACTCCTTTGCTTCAATGAATCCATCTTTGTTCCCATCAAACACATCAAAAGCATCTTTCACTTCATCCAAATCAGGATTTTTCTCTTCAAACAGTTGAAAAATGTCAGTCGAATCGAGCCTTGCTGGAAGTTTTTCTTCTTCAGGATTACAAGAAATCCCTAAGCTTTTCAACACCAACTCCATCTCTCCTCTGCACATGCTCTCATCAACTTCCTTCTCCTTCAAGAAAGATTGATTGTTGGAGAAGCTATCAAGTTCTTCTTTCTTCAAGCTAGCAGCCTCAACTTTCAAATCATTTGACTCATGACATTGGATATGAGAATTACTTCCTGAGAAAAAACTGCTAATCCTTTTAAATATATGCAGCGAAAGGATTTCAAACAATACAAGAATCAGGAGTGTAAGGGGAATTGTATTTAGTGATAAGGTCTCTACTGGTAATTTATTCAAATAAGAGTTAGACATGGCTAATCGTCTCCTCTCGAAAGGAAAAAGGTTTACAGTTCTTGAAAATATTCAATGCTCGCATATAGATAGAAAGTAGTGGATCAAAATCTAAGATGAATAAACTTGGGATTGTTGGAGAATGTACGAGGGAGTTTTGGGGGTGTTTATAGGACTAAGGGGTTGATTTTCAAAGGTGAGGAAATTGCTTGGATGGTGCAGTTGGTCAATGGGAGAAGTTGGAAAGAAAAAGGAAATTTCATGAAATTTGGAGGAAATTTCCCTGCAGGGGATTTTCTCCTGTTTTTCTTGTTCTTTGTCCATGATTTTAAGGAAAATTATACAATTGGTCTGGACCTATCGTTTCCATAGCATGTTCATTTTCCATCTATAACTTAGAGCAACTTGGTGCACATGTTTCGACTCCGCAGAGAACCAAATGAACCAAGAACCAATTGATATCTATGACGGAATAATTGTTTTCCATCTGAAAGTATGGAACAAAACCAAATTATTGCAATTCAATAACCAAAATTTCTAATTATTGATGCAAACTACAGTTTAAAGTGGCACAGTTAAACGTTAACACTCACTCACTAAAATCAAAATATAAGCATCATTCAAGTCTCAACATTAGAACCCTACCCTATAAAATTGACTTTGTTTATCTTCCAGAAATGGCTATGAGCTTGTTGAAGATATTAAGAAACTTTCTGCGGATTAGAGTACATAAACCTAAATTTGTCTGCATGTTGAACTTTGAGAAGTTAAATTTGAAGTGCCGCAATTTTCTAAGAGGCTTGACAAGACAATATAAGAAAGATTTGGATGGTGTACATTGTTTGAACATAATAATGCAACTAGAATGAAAACTTGTTTTACCAACTTGCTCATTTTAAAAGTAAGGGACCAACTTGAAATTGGGAGACTAGATTGGGGACCAACTGTGCAGTTTTTCCATGATTTGTTTTTTGTTAGAAATTGTATTGCCGTCAATAATGGTCTGGTGGACTTGTACCAGAACCACACGTAACTCACATTGGAATTTCTTGGAATTGAAAATTCTTAGCAGCCATCATCCTTCCTATTTTCAAAAGAATTATTTAAGAAAAAGGAAAAATAAAAAATAAATAGTTGTTAGAAAGGGTTATTGGTATAAGATATAAACGTGTAAATAATTTTATTTTATTTTTCCTGATAGGTGGCTCGGTAGGTATTATTTAGAAAATAATATTCTTTTTTTGACCATGACGTAGGTAGGTACCTCTCTAGGACCAACGCATTACTATTAAGGTCTTCTTTGAACCAACCTTCATTTGTCTTTGACGGCCTCCGTGTATTATTATTATTATTTTTTTCTTATCATCGATTTTGATCAATTTTGGATGATTTCATTTATGAGGGATTGTGAAAATCGGTGTTTTTTAGTATTTTAGTCACCGATTTTGGATGGTTTGAAAACCACTCAAAATCGATATAGTGTAATTTTGACTGTTTCTCCCAACCCACCAAAAGGGTAGATTTTGACCGTTTCTTAAATTATCTTCTAATTTTACCATTGATAAATAATTATTTCCAATCAACATAGTTTATTCAAAACTAATTTGTAAATAAAATTAATCAACTAAAGAAATTATTTATAAGCAAAAAAAATTTACTTTTAAGTAAACTTTATAAGATAAAATTTTATATTAAATTTTTATTTATATGTAATAATTACTTATCAGTAAAATGTGTTTATAAATTGAAAACTTCACTAAATGGCATATATATAACTTTAAAAAAAAAAAACTTGTAGGATCGATGTATAATAAATTTTGATGGATTAAACTACTTATACACACAAAGTATACATTATAATTGACACTTCACTAGGTGTCAAAATCTGACAGTTGATTAAAAAGGGTGTTGTCAAGATCAATATATCAAAATTTGTCAACTTACATAGGTGTAAATCAATGTGTCAACTTATACACACAAAGTATACATTATAATTGAGATAATCCATATTCTTTATTCAATTACATGTGTAGCATTGAATGTAGATGTTGTTTTGTAACTCGAAGAACAGTTGAGATGGAACTTTGAATTTTTTGACGTGCCAGAAATATTATTCAATCTTTTTTTAGCTTTTGGATCAAAATGTATGATGCAATGGTCCGATCCAGAAAACGTGTGATGAAATGGTCTAATTAGAAACCTTAAATCTGGGCACCGGCAGACGGTTTAAGGTCAACATTATAGTTGATGTGACATTGAACGGCCAATTTGCATGTTGTAATGGCATATAAATGGGACAAATGGTCTTCTCCTAAAGGTTCGCTCAACGAATTCTATCTAAAATGCATTTCAAATTCCTATCAATAAACTTAGCCCTTAATTTTCATAAATTCCAGCAATTATCCTACCAAAATTATATTAAATTGATCGAAATGTGTCATCATTTTTAGTCATCAACAAAAGTGATAAAAAACCCACCCACCCCACCCACCGAACATGCTGTCTTCATTGTTCGCCGTTGCCGTTGCCGTTAGTTCAAACACTAATTTAAATCTTAAATAGATAAAACTACAAAGTTCATCCATTAGAAGACTTTCATGTTTCATTAAAAAGTAAAATGTTCATTTTTCCCATCTTCTTATACTTCTTTTCTTTTGCTTTGATTTTTCATTTTTTTTAATTTTAATCGAAATCTGATATTTTATGTTACAAAATGACTTTAGGTGAAGACATTTGAAAGTTTTGGGACTTTGAGTATTAGAAATCAAAAGTTTGGGACCCATCATCAAAATGTTCAAAGGTTAGGGATCCCAATTCTATTTACCTTATAAAGTTTTGTGGTCATGGTGACAATAAGTAGAAAGTTTGATGGTCAAGGTGAAACAAATTACAGTTCGGTAGCCATAGAAGAAATTAGTCCTATTTTAATTTCGAATACCAAGTGCCAACTCTAAATTCGATTTTGTGTAATACTCTTATTATTTCTTTAATGCTTCATTTATTTGGCCAATAGTTGATTAGATTATATACTATAATGAGATCGAGAGGTTAACTAATAGTTTAGACCAACATAGCAAAACCATGAATTGAAATAGAAATATACTTCTACAATTTGCGCGATTTTATGTTAATTTCTTTGTGATTAAACGTAGTTAGATAGGTTGTAACACACAGAAATGTAGTGAAATCAATTATTTAAGTATAATTGGTTTCGGTTGAGAGAGGTCATCAATTAAGATTGAGATATACAAGTTAGATATTGTTGATGTTCAATCTAAAAAAGTTAATTTGAAAAATTACGGTGAAATCGGGAGTCCTATCACTTTAAACATCGATCAATCTGAATCACGACATCTAAAATATTAAACGTTAAAGATTAGATAAATTTATTTACCCATATTTTTATGCTAAACAAGATACAATTAAAAATGTAAAATGTTCTCATCACCAAGACTTATATTGCATATGAATATAAAAGTTAATAACAAAAGGGAATAGAGAGGAAGAGAAGAGAAATCCAAAAGGGGGGCTTAAATGAAATAGATGGTATAATGAAATTTTCCTAAATTAAGCATTAATTCAATAGCCTAATTCTGGTGGAGGACTGGGGGGAGAAGTAAGAAGATAACCAGATTTATCATTAAAATTTGGCCCTGCTTCAACATAGTCCAACTCCATCACCCCTCTTGAATTTCCCTGTAAACCCACAGTTGAGGTGTGAAGCTATCTCGTACTAAACGAAACTAGAGACTTAAATTTAAATAAGCAAGAAAGTCAATACCTCAATGAAATGATCGAGGGCACTATTTCCATGGACAAAAGTTCCCATCAATTTTCTTCCCAATCCTATAGAACAAAGAAACAAGAAAGTCAATAAAATCTTGCACTTGCTGTGTGTACTTCCGTTGGATCTTGCTGCATGTACATGAAGATTTACATAATGCGACATGAAACTCTACAATTTGTCAGTTTAAAATACAATCAATTTTTTCGTCCAATCTTTTCCTTTCGTATCAATTTTTTATGTACAAGTAACAAAATCCGTACAGAAGATAAGAACTCGAAGGAGCAGTTACAGGATCATTACCATGAGAGAAAGACAGCATAAGAACAAAGGATAGAACAAGAACAGTGTTATAACAAGATCGGTCCATGTTTTCTGAATCTTGGATTGTATAAGCTGCGATTGAAAATCCTAGAAAACCACTCCGAGTTTATTTCTAGGAGAAGTGAACACTTTGGCCTCAAATCCAACAAATACTTTATACAAAAGATAAGAGAGTGGACTTTGTATTTATACTAAGAAAATTTCAACATGAAAACCTCTCTTATCATTCGTGAACTAGCAATGCATCCAGTTGTAAGATTGTTTCAGGCGCAATATTCGAGTTTTCTTGAAAAATAAGTTAAAATATTATTCAGTATCTTATTCGACCATGTTCAACATTACATATTCAGGAGACTATTTATTTTACCTCACAAATATAAAGAATCTTGGATCTTGATCTTAATTTTAATTTTAATTTTAATTTTATGGGATTTTAATAAAATATTGGCACACAAATTTATGGTTAATGGAAAAGCTGGCATGAAGGTGTATTACACAAATAAGTCAAAGGAAAAGTCTAAGTGTACATAA